ACAAGACGAGCGATTTACCCGAGTGGGTTGTACCGAGATAATTAGGGACTGAAAGACATGCCTGTCGCCATAATGATGGCCACATTCGGATTTGTGCGTACATAGTCCCACTCTCAGCAAGTCTCACCAGATAGTGTATCCCCCATCCACGATGATCTCGCTACCCGTGACGTAGCTGCTAGCATCACTGACCAACCAGACGGCCGCACCGCGGAATTCCTCTGGCTTGGCGATCCTCTTCATGGGAATATCCTTCAACCACTCTTTGCTCAGCTTCTCCATCTCTTCGCCCTCGTTAGCCTCGGTCTGGATATATCCCGGGCTCAGTGCATTGACGCGGATGCCGTGCGGCGCCCACTCTGATGCCAGTGACTTCATAAGATGGGCCGATGCAGCTTTGGAAGCGTTGTATGCCGACTGCTTCTGCGGGCGGTTGACAATGGAGCCGGACATTGACGAGACGATCAGGATGCGGCCGTCGACCTTGTTGTCGATCCACCATCTACCTGCTGTGCGAGAGAAGAGGAAGGTTCCAGTCAGATTGACGTCGATCATTCGTTTGAAGTCTTCGAATGGGTAGTCCTCGGCTGGTGCGCCACCAGTAATACCAGCATTCGTAACGAGGATATCCACGGTCCCAAAGTCTTTGACGATCTTTTCCCACGTAGACTTCACGCCTTCCTCGGACGATGTGTCGCACTCGTAGCCATGCACCTTTGGGGGTAAGAGGCCCTGATTCTTAGCCTCTTCAATGAGGGCACTGGCTGACCTGTCGGCACCTTCTTGCTTAAGGTCTACAATGGCTCCATGGGCGCCGGAAAGGGCGAAGGCGGCGAGGATCTGCTGACCAAGCCCTTGAGAGGCACTGAATAGCACATTAGCTTGATTGTAACTGTGTTTGATGTCTCGTGAGAGGGACACCAGGGGTAGCTAGGACCCGTGTCGCATTCTACTGCATACACACTAGTGAATTTTGCCAAGTGAATCCTTTCGAAGATAATGTTTACTTCTACCCTGGGAAGAATTTGCGACACGGATCGTAGCTGCCCCTGGCGCGGGTTGGTGGTCTCATACCCGGTAACTATAGGAAGTTAGTTAGCTTGTCAAGAGACTCTCTTGACTACCTACCAACAGCGACCTTGCCCTCAAGCGAGAAGTCAGGCAAAGTCCTGCGCTGTGTGTGAGCAAAGCGAACAGTAGGTCTCAACAGATGCGAAAGCGTCTTCGAAGTCCTCAGGATAGCATCGCGGGCGACATACGGGGGCATTTTGAACGTTTGATTCTGTGATATGAGTAAGTGGGAGATGAATTCTGGTATCAAGAAAGCGTGGAGCTGTATGCTGTAAGACTGGAAGAGCCCGTGAGGCTCTTTTGGTTGTTGCAACGTTTACCAGGTACGCTCTTGTGATGGAGGAATTACGTCACTTTTGCGTACACCTGTGCTCAACCGAGTCATGCCCGGGATGTTGTTACTTCGCGGCTAACGAGGTATGAACAGGTAGGAAATTGATATAGCGAGGTTTTGAGGTATGGCAATAGCGTTGCAGGTCAGATGGGAATCGATGAGGTAGTGATTCGAGAGCACAGCAATTGGGCTCAAGCCAAGAGAAAACAGTGGCTATATTCAACGGGTTGTAGCAAGCCTTCCTATGATGATGTTCGCTAGCTGACAGCACCTAGGTGTCCTTCAAGAAGTCGATCGTAGCATCGTGACCGAGTATGAGGTGTCCTCGCCCTACATGACGGTGCACCAGCAGGACTCGTCGCAACCGCAGCAGTCGCACGACTCGCCGCACTTCGGGGCTGGCGAGGGCTTGATGATAGTCGAGATGGAAGAGGCGACACTGGCAGGCATCTTGATGGTATTGGTGTGGAGGTGATACTGGACGGAGTGTTAGTTGTGTAGCTGGTAGCATGCCTGGATCACTTACTGTAATAGTCTTGTTGGATGTGAAGAGAATCGAGAGCCCAAGAGCCAAACGTGCTGTATTTGTGTGTGGGTGCGATAGGTGAAATTCGTAGACAGCGAAGTAAAAAGGTGGTGGGAAGTGAGTGTTCTCCTTCGCGGATGTCCACGACCCTTTATATCACTAGGTCGCAGGTCAGCAGGCGTTACAGTCTTCCCCAGCTCGATAATTCCAGGATAGTAGCTTCCGTCATTGCGGCCTGCGCGCCTTGTCATTCGACCTCATCGGTGGCACACATCAAGCCCTGACCCTCAGGCATGCATGTCCATGTTTCAACATCTGCCAGTTGTCAGGCCTGGAACTGGTCGCTCGGCCCTGCTGCACCGCCTCACCGACGCCGCTATCTCTCGAGCAAACCCAGGATGCAAGTCTGGACGGTGTGACAGATGAAAACGGCCGCGGCTGGGGTGGCTCAGCTTGCTCACGGTCATGTTTCATTGGTTCTGATTGGTGTCACGTAGACGTTTGTCGTAACAATCTGCATTAGAGCATGCCAACCCTTGCGAGGTGCATGCACTGATTGCGTGGCTAAGCTCAACTAAGCTTTGTGGCGCCAATAAATCCCTCACAAAATCAAGGAACAAGCTTTGCCAAGCGGCAGCTGAGAGCTTGGCTGTGAATGTGTCGTGACGGGCTTTGTGGGTCGGTTCGTCTGCAAGTCAAGTTTAGACACTCGGCTGTGCCACAATCGACGTGGTGCATGTCGTCGTGTTGCAGTGGCTGCGTACCCGTTGGACATGGCGCTGAGGTTCGGCTGAGGCCACGCGTCGTAGCGGTGTCTCGGGTGGTGCTTATACGCGCTCAACTCTGCGGGCCGATATTAGAGACGCGTACAGTCATGGGAGGGTAAAACTACGAATCGGTTGTAGAGCGTATATCGCTTCGCGCACATGGTGCGCATCGTTACTAAGTCGTGATGAGGGATTTGAGAGGTTGGTGGAGCTGCGATTGAGGCTTCCCCAGCTTCCGGCGATCGCGCCGACTGGCACTAAGAGCGCCCACAGACGTCCCTGACAACTCAACCTCTCCTTTACAACCCCATCGGCACATCCTCTCTGTCCAGCCCACACCATTCGACGCTCCTGAACCACAATGCTTGTTGTATATCCACATCTAAACTGTCCTGTGAGCTCTCGACTCTGTTCTTCCCTTCGAAGTACCCCTCCTGCCCATCAAATCTGTCGGCTACTGCCACATCTACGAAGGCGATTGCAGCTTGCTCGACGGTCACCAATCGAGGCTGGAAGTAGCCAATCAACGGCAACAACCAAGTCACGACCGTAGCCATGATCTGAATTGTTCGCGGGACGTGCGGCTGGTGGAATGCCCGCGATGTAATCAGATCCAGAGGATCCACCGCAACCGCGCGGATGGACTCTACATCTTTCTTCTGATGAAACAGTTAGGCTGCAAGCCAAGCATGGTCTTCGACAACGGGAGACTTACTGCTTTCAGGCGACGATTGAGCTCGTACATCACCATGATGGAGACCAACTTGCTCACAGCATATCTTTGGAAGCCTCGTCCCAACTCTTCGCCTTCCTTATCAGTTTCTGGATGAACCAATAGTTCCAAATCGTTTGGGATATGAGTTGGATATCCCTTGACGAGGCTTGCTTCCTCCGGTCGATGTGCGCCGCTGCCCGAAAAGACGATACGGCCATGAACTGGGTCCATGGCACTCATGAGCCTGCAACACAAAGCAAAATGTGCAAGATGGTTGACCGCAATCGACATTTCGTATCCGTCTTTCGAATACTTCGGCCCGCCGGACAAATTCCATGTCATCGCATTGCAGATAATCGACCGGATGGGTGGAAGCTGCTTGCCCTCAATCTCAACAAGGAGCGCTCTGCTGAATACCCGAACGTTTTCCAGCGAAGAGAGATCGAGATTTCTTATAGACACTTGTCCGTTGGGGTGCTGGGCTACAAGTTGACGAAGTTTTAGCGTGTTTGCATCTTTCTCTGAATTGTCTCGGACGGTAAGAACCAGGTTGAAGGATGGGTATGCTTCCAACAGGTACTTGACTGATGGTAAAGCTAGCGAACCGTTCGCGCCGGTGATTAGGACTGTGCCTGCCATGATGCGCGTAGAAACGAGCGGATGAGAGGAGTGTTCTGGATGCGAAAGAGGCTTTGCAAGAGGGCGCGTCGAAGGAGTCTTCGTTGTTCTTATCTACCCCTTGGGCGCGGTTGCTGACAGGCGAATACGCCCCGTCGTATACCTCGATGCCGGCCTACCGTCTCGGAGCCATCAGTATATACGTAGTCGTCCCGGCATGGGATCTCTCTCCCAAATCCAGCAGGCTTAAATGTTCGTGACTGTGTACGTGCAAACAGTCATAGTATCATGTACACTACGAGTGCGGTTCTCTCAACCCTCACAATCGGTGGTGGTGTGGCCCAGGGCATGTGCGTTCGCTAGTCGCGCCGCCCCTCAACGGCACCTTTGTAACTCCATGGCGCGCATCCTTCCACTTTATGCATGGGCCACGGGCTAGGCAACACCTCTGGTCGCGGAGAGTCACCACATGCAAGAGGAGAAATTGAACTGCTCCGCAGACTACACCAGGATATCGCAAGCAGACTAGAAAAGTCGGTGGTAAGGTAGGCTCCTCGGTGCGCATTTTCCCCCTAGGTTGACGTGGATGTGTCGCATTGCGGCCGACCCCCGAGCACGAAGGATCAAAATGTCTATTTGGCGACAGCAACCGGCTCCACTTTGCTACTCGTTCCCTTTTGGATACGACCCCGCATATCGTACGATCTGAGCAGTGCAATCCAGGGTCTTTCTCCCACAACCAAGTGTAGCCGGTCGCATAGGTTGGTGATTCAGTATGCATACTCACTGATGATATAGCAAGCTATCTAGACATTATATTCATAATAATTCCTACGGATCATTGGAGTCGTTTCTGGCCTGCGAGCGTGGATAGAGGCAGCGTAAATGAATCAAGCGGATTATCCAGGTTCCCCTCTATCCCGAGAGATGACACACGCACGATTGAGACTATAAGAATGCGTTCATGTTCTACAGCTCCACAAGTCGAGGCTAGTCAAGAGCCAATTCCCACCAACTAAGTTACAGTGATGCTGCTACTTCCACTTGGCAACAGCGTCCCGTTCGCAAATCCCTCCGTACAAAGAATCATATAGTCGTGACCGCCCAACCTCATCCCAGCCTTGTTCCACGCGTCAAAATGCTTCTGCGTAGTGATTGTACCGCCAACCCTTTTCTCTGTTCTCACCGACCAGAACTGTGTAAAGGTACGAGTCCCCTCAATAGACGGTTTGTTTACGCGCTGGCTAGTGTATAGATCGTAGGTGCCTTCTTCAAAAGTGAAGTTGCCTTTGCGCGTCCAAGGCTCACCTGGGGCGAGGACGTCGTACGACTCGATGATGTAGTATTCGATGAGGGGATTGCGCGTCCAGCCATAGAGGGCGAGGTAACCGGGGCCCTTGGCGTCGTATGTACCCGAATATTTGACTGTCCTGGTACGATCTATTAGTACAGTTCTGGAAATCGACTTGGACCCGTTGCTGCTCTTACCTCGAGCCCCCAGGCTTGAAACCTGTACCAGCAACGAAGCCACCACCAGGCTGTCCTGACCAGTTGCACGTGTACTTTCCGCCACCTTGTTGGTTGCAACGGAATGAGCCACCTCCTTCCGACCAAAAGGAGTAGTAGCCACCTTGACGGACTTCGAGCTGCTTCCCGACTGTTTCATGATTGATAAGTGAGGCAGTACCACTCGGTGCGGTGAGAGCAAAAGGCAGACTGCCTAGCACGGCGGCGGCGAAGACCGCAAAAGAGACCATGATGCTGGAGCTGATGAGTAGATAGGACAACGTATCTGGCCACCATTGCCGGCGGTCTATATCTATAATATACCTACTTTACATGTAGGGGCCTAGTATGGGAGTCTTGATATCAAGTGCGCGTGATTCTTCGCGCCAGTTTTTCATTAATCAGCCATTGTTGCGAGATCGCCTCGGGCTCACTGACAGCAGCGTCTGCCAAGGACTGACCTGCCTCTCCCAGCAAGAAACATACTCTGCCAAGACTGGGGTGCATCTTCGTCAATATGCCCGATACTGCTGTGCCGGCTGTTCACTACCGAGCCAGGGGTGGTGCTTTCGAGCAGCCGTAAACATCAGGCTTCGATTTACCGTGATTAGAACTTGTTATCTGCCGATAGCATTTGATACGACGATGCCCAGGTGGTCGAAATGACAGGTACCTGTCACCAATCGTAGGTGATGATCGTCGGGTGGACACGTTGTTAATCAAGGAAAAGAGCATGTGGGGTATGGTATGCGATGAGGATGTTTCCACAGAAATTTAGCCGGGCGCTTCGATACCGTTCTGACTTCGTCACGGCTCAGAACATAGCAGATCATGAAGCCGGGCAGCTTGAACACAGTGTCGGAGCGATGGCGAAAGGCGCAATGCGGAGACAGGAGACGGGCAACGCGTGCAAGCTTGTTCAAATCGAGTTTAGCGTGTCATCTTAGCTGATCGCCGGCCCCGGGGGGCACCCGCGAACGTGCTGCAATCTATCAACACGAACCAGACACGCCGCGCCTGCGACATTCCCGCTCTAAGCCCGGCCACCACATATGAAAAAGACCAGACCTCCATCAACAGGTACCGAGCTAGACCTCCATCTCGTACCCTGGCAGATGATCGAGCCACCCATCCACCTCTTCGTCGACGGAGCTATCAACCGCGCAAGCGTTCATCTCCTCCACAGTCTGAGTCTTCAGCACACCCTGAATACCCGGACTTCCACAATTATGGAACATGCAACTATCGTTCATCACCCGCTGCAAGCTGTCCCCCTTCCACCCAAACACGTAGTCTGCATGAGTACCGTAGCCCTTGCTATCGGAATAACTCCACACAAACGGCTGAGAACCATCGGTTGGCCACATGTCGGCGAAGGCAGTTGTATTCCACATCGTTTCGTATGCTAGTTGAGGCATCTTGATGGGATGCGATGCAGGACACGGGTCCGCCGGACGGAAGCCACCCCGTGTGGTCGAGAACATGTGGGATTGATCTAAAGATTGGCGTACGAAGTCAGTGTTTATCTCACATACAATCCGTACAGGGGTATTACTGACGGTCGGGAGAGTCAAGGTCAACTCCGTTCCAGCAAGAGGGGAAATGGCTACACATTAAAGACGCAATTAGTAGGTTTCGTGGAGAAAAAAACGAGTTTCTCTTGGGAAGATACGCGCTGCCCGCAAGTGCGTAACACCTATTTGCAAGAGCATGCTAACATCGCAGGGAGACTTACTGCCATGCCGTCAGTACCCTGATCATAATGTTTGCTTAGGACCATTGCTTACCTGAATCGCCATGATACCGGCAGGGCAGGGCTCTTTAGGGAAGTCAGGAGTCTCATAACCTCTAGTGAGGATGGTTTGCAAGCACGTGTATGCCAGGCCCTTCTTTGTGCCGTTGAGTGTGTTTGTTGACGGGTTACCAACGGTCATGCGGAAGCCCTTGACCCAATTAATCGCTCGTTTCATCGACGGCCGAGATAGCATCACTCACCGGCGGAAAGGCTCTCACGGGATTGTCGAGGTCTGAGCTTTCGAAGTCTTTCTGGGTGTAGTATACCGTCATACCTCCCTTGATGTGGTCCGCATCTTGACCATCGAATCCTGATAAGGTTTAGCCTTTCAATGTGCTCCAGTGTAGGCGATGTCGTCGGAATACCTAGCTGAGCGTTCGGATAGATTGGAACGCGTTTGTATGAGCCGTTTTGGTGTTTGAAGTACATCGCCGCGGTCCAGTAGTTGGAAAAGTCTACATTCAATGTCAGCGATTGTAAAGGAACTGGAGTGAGGAACGCATGACGTACCTTCAGTGTATGCGCATGTTGTGCAGCTGCCCTGTTCCCCAATATCACCGGCCATCGTAGCGTTGAAAGCATTACCGCCTGCGGAAACGTCAATGAGAGAACCAGAGGCTGTATCGTAAGTCCAGCCTACCGACGATCTGGTGTACCTTTGCAGTTGTGTTAGTATATGGTCACCACTACGATCATAACACTAACATGAGACGAGGGTACACGACCAGGCTCGACTAGCGGGTCCAGGCGCTGAATGGACACACTGCTGCAACCAAAGCGGATCGCAGCTTGCACCGCGACAGCTTGGAAAAGGAGTACATATAACTTCATGTTGTTGTAGATATATGTGTCTGTTTTGGTGATTAGAATGTCTCAGTGTTGATGTACTGCGATGGGAATGGTTCGTAGTGGGTTTTGGAGGAGTATGTCCCACCGAGACAGATACATGCCGCTCAGGAAAATCCGTTAAGAACTTCTCGCATCGATGTATCCGATTCGCAGATGACAATGGTTCCAGCGCGCGACTGCCGGTGGGCAGCGCCAAGTCGTTGATGTTACTCTTCATATGCGCCGTCCTGTCGGGTACAGTAAGGTCAATGTGGGGCATGCTGGTGGGTTGATGCGATTGACTCCTCATGCCCGATGTGTCGCCAAAACTGTTGGCAAAACTTATTGCGATTCAGGGAAGCACAGCTGTCCACTCATCCGAGACGGTGCAAGGGAATCGGAACGGGAAACACAATCGCATGAAGAGGTGACGTCAATGTGAACAGGATCTTGGCCGAAAACATCAAGAGTCTACATAATGCATCCTCTGAGCTATTCGCAGATCTTAAGATATCAGTTAATCAAGGGCTGTCGGGCGCTGAAGATTACATGGGCTAGGAAAGAGTTTCAATAGCAAAGAGAGGCATTTCGTAGGTATCAATGATAGCACATGCATCAATATGCGACACTCTTTTATCGTGATGTATCCAGCCTGCGCTTTCAGAACTTCAAGTTTACATAGTTGGCATAGTTCGGAGCCTTCAGTTGTTCAGCTCTCGAGCCAGAGCGGCAATGCGCATCTGCTCCTTATGCTGCCGCCTGAGATACTTTTGTTTCCTCAGGGCTACGATGCCTTGAATCCATCGCCTTGTCTTCTCACTGGGCGCACGGTTATCACCTTGATTCTGCTGCCCCATCGGCGCAGAATGGCCTCCAACCTCCTCCACTTCCAGCTCACAGTCACCTGCGAGTATAGCTTTCTCTTTGACAGATTCAGAGTTGCCTCCGAGTGTCTTCTCCTCCTCCACTATCTGGGAGTTACCTTCCAGAACTGGCTTCTTCGGTGCGGGCTGAGAGTTACCTCCCAGAACCGGCTTCTCTTTCCCCTTGACTTGCATGGGCTGGTGCTTGCCTCCGTCGGCCGGACCAAGCAAGTCTCCCACCTGCTGTGCTGTTCCTTCCCCGAGGTTGGCAAAGGGTGCATAGCCAGGGAAGTATGCGGCACACTTCCTCATGTTGGCCTCCATGTCCTGGACCACGATTTCCTGCTTGGCAATACACGCCAGCTCCTCTTCATCGAGGTCATCACAAGCATAGGCTTTAGCCAGTATTCCCATGTTGTATTTTCGTGCTCGGTAATTCTTATCGAAGTCTATGAAGAGTTAGCAGAGCTACTGTAAGGTGGTCATGGATTACTTACCCTCTATGTCCTCGGTTGTAGGCACGCGAGCCCTGGCGATCGCATCCCGGCGGCTGCGTTCGCCCGACATCATAGTAGACACGAGTGTCAATAGCAGAGCGGAAAGTGTCTTTGGTGGGTGAGTGCTCTGAGTGTGAGATTCAATATTGCTGTTGATGTTGTTGACAAACGCTCGAGATAAGTGGGTCTCGACTAGCGCACAATGCGAAGGGAAGGAGCCCTGGAGCCTGGCGAGATGAGAAGAACGCCAGGTATTTGATGAAATAGTTGATGGCTTCGATGTTTCGTGTAAGCGATGTGTGTTGAATGAAGGGGATGGGCGCGTTGCTACGAGGCTTTCGGTCTAGTCAGGAAAGAACTTGCGCGCGAGAATCATATTGAAGAGGATGTTAGGAAGGAGAATTGAGCACCAGCGAAATTACTGATGGACAGATCTTATTATGGGGAGTGGACGAGGGAGCGTGAGTTAAGTTGGAACATAAGCGAAAAGGGAGATTTTGTTCGGTTGCTGGAATGGTCGACAGCCAGCGAGAAGTCCTCTCGAACCTGCAATGATGGTCTACTTTAGAAAAACTGCGTAGATATACGTGCGATAGCGCATGACAGAGTCCAAAACCCTAGCTGCATTTAAAATTGTTCGGTATCTGCCAGAATGCAAGATGTTGCAAACCGATTGTCAAAGTCGTGGAGATTCGATCACGAAGCGATCTCAGAACCAAGCCACAGCTTCCTCGTGGCCACGCTTTTCCCTCCAGTCCTTCAGTTTGTGATTGACCACCCAAGCCGGTAGTGGCGTTCTCCAATCATCCACATCATACGGCTCGGCCCACAACCGGCCATCAACATCTTCAGGCTTCCAGAGATGAGATGTGTAGTCTACTCCAGCCTTGCTGAACAAGTAGCAGCCAAATTTTAGACACCTGTGATGACGCCGCTGACGTCGCTGACTCCGATGCTCATCCTCGGAAATCGGTTCCTGCTCGAGACGGTACCCTTCGACCCGCTGTACGAGCTGCAACGTGTCTAGACAGGGCGGTGGCACGGGCATATATGGAGACATATCAAACCGTGCAAAGGTATTGTTGTGATGTTGAAGTAGGGTTTGGGAGCGGTATTGATAGTCGATTCGGATGGTTGCTAGAAATGGAGCTTTCTGTGCCAGCACAGAGACAAAACGCCGCGTAGTGTTCCACGTCCACTCATTCAGGTCTTCATGGCTGTTGGGGACGAGAATCGCGACGTGCCTGATGTAATGGCTGAAAAGTGTGTCTAAAGGTAGCGTGCGACGCTTGCGACTGGGTGGTGATTGATGCGGTGTATCTACAGGGCAGGGTCGTAGGCGGTCCCGATCGCAGATTGTGACGAAGACTCCTTGTTTCTCACGCAGGATCGCTGGCACTGTTGAGCCGATGGGCCGCTCGGACCGTCAAGCTCGGTATACCTCGGCAGGCCAAGACGGCAATGGCGGCAACAATCTGAACTCCTTGGCGCAAGTTCCCTATGTACGTTGTAGAAAGAAAAAAGCTCGGCAGTACTGTTGATACATGGGATAAACGGCATTTAAGAATACCCCACCCGGACACCGTCGGAAGTCGCGCGGACACAAGACCGACTGCTGCCTGGAAAAGGCGCAATATAGAAGAAACTCGCGCTCCAGTGTTCCTAGTCTCCCCAACATGGCGAGCGACGAGCCATCGCTTTACCCTTCAGTGGCACTCGGTCGATTACGCATCCCAGGGCCAGCAATCCCAATCATCCTAGTTGGCTCCCCTTTCTTCGTGCGACGACAAACTTCACGACAAAAGAAAGACCTTCAAAATTTACTGGTGGTCATACACCTTTTGCTATACATCTACAACCTCACGGAAATTTTTGGCAAGAAAGAGAAAGAGGGTGAAGGTGACGACACATTGCCATTACTGGAACACCTCGTTCTGGCCTTCGGAGAACCTGCTTTACAGGAGGGACAGACATCTGTTTGGCCATACATATCGGTTGCCGTGGGATGGATCTTGTCTCGAGCGCTTGCTCACCCTCAGAGGGTGTGGATCTCTATCGTGCTATCTCTTCCCAGTGCTCTGAGGATGAGCAAGCAAGTCAATGTTGGAGTTAACTTGAGTGCACTTTCACTGCTCACCAGAATGACTTTCGTGGTATCGGGCTCTGAACATGGGCTCTCAATGGCGAATGTTGCTGGTGTTGCCCTCCCTGTGGCGCTGGCAAGACTTTGCTATCCGCTGTTCCTCAGGAAGCTTTGTCGAGCACTTCAAGTCCGGCCTCGACGCGTGCTAGAAGCTAGCATTGGAGAACAATGTTTGAAGTGCATCCAGGCGCCATTCGCAGTATTCACTGTCGCTGGTGCGGGGTGGACAATAAGCAGCTTCGTCTTCTCCTGTTTCCCATGGCGAAGGCTGTTCAATGTGGAGGCGTCTAGGGCTCCATCGTGGACTGTGCTCTCGTTTGCTGGAGGGGCTGTGTTCCTTCCTCTTTTCTCGATCGTAAAGTTCATGAGGGTTCAAATTATAGGGAGGGAACCTGCAGCTGACTTGGGCGCCTTTGTGCAGTATCAGTTGGGAGACTGCGTGGCAGCGACGTGGTGGGTGAGCGTTGCGTATATCTTGCTGTGGCTGGGTTCGGAAGCGCTCTCACGGTGCGGCAAAATGTAACCCTAACTTATTAAGATAATTGAGTTAGTAGCTTTATTAGTAATTAGATAGAAGAAAATTTAATCTCTACAAAGTGTGACACAAACTAAGGCTTAAGGCCGCCGCTTTAACTAGTATAATGCTATTAGAGAGCTTGCCGAACCTTGCACGTGCCTTGGGAGTGGTGGCATCGTGTGCGACTTGCAACGCAGGATCGAGTGGTGTTCATGCGACGATGGAAATAGCAACTGAACGCTTCATTACAGAGATGGGTATAAAGCTAAATCCGATGCGCGGCCCTACATGCTAGCATCACGCTGTCCTTACAACTCTAATCGCGCCTGCGATTCCCACTCCTACTACGTGTCCTGCTCCGTGACCGGCTCCGCTCGCCTGGGCTGCGACTCCTCCCGCGATCACGACTATCGTAGCTTCGACTTCTGCTGCGGCTGTGACTACGACTGCGACTGCGACTGTCGTAGCTCCGACTCCTGCTCCTGCTGTCATAGCTCCTGCTTCTGTAGCTCCGCGCACTTCCATCACTCCTTCTGTCTAGTTCCTCATCCAGCTCATCGATTTCGTCACCCAACGGACTCTCCCTCGGCTCTAACATATCCAAGTCCTCCAAGTTCGCCCGCGACGGCAACTTCCACAGACTCGTCGCGCACATGCGATCTTTTGTGAGGAGATCATCGATGAACTGATCGACATATGTGAGGGTAAAGACATCCTTGAGGCGTCGTTTTATCTTGCGGTAGTCGGTGAGGAGTGGTTCGAGGGTTTTGTAAATCTCGACGGGCTCCCAGGCAAGGCGAATGTAGAAGGCGGCAAGGCAGCGCAGGTATTTGAAGTCGCCGAGTTTGCCTGCTGCGTTTAGATCGAGCGCCTTCTTGGTTGTGTCTTCGTCCTCGGATGTGTGGCCGTTTTCCTCCTTCTTGGCCTCGCCGTCCTGTGCTCCATCTTCCTCGTCGTCGCGAAAGTTGAGGTATTCAAGGATAATCTCCTTGTCCGGAACTAGCTGCAGCATCTTGAACGCTAGACACAAGAATGGTGTAGGTTTGCCCGTAATGCCAGTCGTGCCACCGATGAACTTGAGGTCGGCCGCGCGGTCGCACAAGGTCGCAGCGTTCAGACCGAAACATTGCTCTTTCCAGTAGTAGGACTCGGTGATGCGCTCGCGTACACCCTTTTCGAAGAGCAGCGCCGGGTTCTGCCCTCTGATGAGGGCTCCGCGATAGCCTCGGTCGTCGAGGAGCGCGCTGGCGTCTGCGCGGTCGAACTGCGGTTTTGACATGTGGAGATACCGAAAAGTCGTTCCAAGGCTAATTTGAGATCGGAATGGCCTTTGAATGTCTTCGGAAATGCGCGTGCAGTGTTGTGCGGTTTGGTGGTTCGGTGATTCGGTGGTGCTGCGGAGGACGCTCGCGTTGATGGTTGCGATAATTTGAGCCGGGGTGCTGCCAGCAATCGATAGTTGCCTGCTCAACACCAGCGATCAACATGCAGCCCTACGAAATCTAGATCCACGGGGCACGTCACACCCGCCCACTGCATGCGCTCTCCTGCACGAACTACTCTTGCCATTCTACATGCACACTTTTGAACCATCATAGCATTCTTATACCCTTCGCATCCAGCGTTTACTTGTAGTTATGGGGAGACTTCTCCTTACTTCGAGCCAGGTTTCTGTCATCCTGTCGGCAGCCATTGGTACGCATGGCCCACGACGGGCACGCACTCGCATTCGCTGACGGCCGCCGGTAGTTCTTCTCTTCACACTCGCCCTCTTCCTTTCCGGCTGGGTATTACAGCAACGATACGTGCATTCTCTACAAGCCGCCATAAAGCCCCGATTACCCAAGCCTCTGCCCCCGCCCAAGCCGATAGAACCTCCGACATTGGACGTAAAATGGGCAAGACCGATGGGCGGCCGTCCGGAGGTGGACGAGACATATGCGCAGTATATTGCGGGGCAGACGATGGACTGGAGCCGCCTGGGCTATGTGCAGGTGGTGAGAGAGCATGTGGAGCTTTGCAGTGCCGTGATGCTGCTGTCTGATCTACACAAGATGAAGAGCCCGGCCAAAAGGATACTGATGTTCCCCAAACTGTGGCTGGTAGAATCTGAAGACGACAAATACGGCCCGCAAATGTCGACTACACGGCGACTGCTGCGAACGGCGGCGAGGCGGTATGGCGTCACTTTGATGCCCATGGAGCCTATTGTGGAAGGCGCAGACGGTGAGTGCTGGCCCAGGAAGCTGCCCGCTACAGTGACTAACAGAGTCAGACACACTGCCCTCTTCCTACTCACTAGCAAGCCTGTACTCACTGGTAGACTACGAGCGGCTACTCTACCTCCAAGGTCCGGGCGTGCTGCTCGACGCATCGGCCTTGGACTCACTGCTGGCTTTCTCCAAGTCAGAGCCCATGGCAGCTTACCCCGCCACGCCAGAACGAACCGACATGTCGACATCACTCCTGATGATACACCCGTCACAACAGAGCTACAACCAGCTGAGGACACTGCGCACGACGAATCCGACGTCGGACCTCAACATGTTCCGCAAGACATTCACGGTGCCGGACTCATTGATCTCGGAGTGGTCGCTGTCCATGGGCAACGTGGTCTACGAATCGCAGAACCTGCGCAATGTCGTGGACGACTTCAACGCGACGGCGTTCGAACAGGCGACGACGTTCGTGAGGCTGTCGGATCCCGAAATACCAGGACCGGAGTACGACATTCCTTTTTCTGAACGCGCCAAGCTGCGGCCTCAGAACGCACAGGCGCAAGAGGCGTGGAGCAAGCTGTACGAGAGGTTCCGGCAACGGCGCATGGAAGTGTGCGGCCTTGACCTGGAGACGTACCAGCCGATCGTGGTGTCTGGTGGGGCCGATGAAACCCATGCGGTGGCTGATGAGCTGTGAAACGGCCAGGTTTTCTTTTGACGATGCAACGTGTGCCATTTGGGCGCTTTCGAGTCATGTTTGTGCAATAGTCTTTTGGGGTGTTTGTAGATGGGCCGGCGTTGGGTATGATGATGCATGTGTATTGGCGCGCATTGCTAGGCGTTGACGGGTTCGCGAGGAAGCGATTCGCAGTATAGGCAGGCTGGGTATAGCAGCCGGGACGACCACCTGGGCACGGTGCATGGTACGCATGACGCAACAAGCAGCGATGCTTCGCGTGCAGCCCGGGCGGGCGTGACACGATGTAATGAAGGGATGAAGACACGTTGGTTTGGATGCATGCATGCCATTGACTGCGGGCGCAAACACGGTGCCAGTGCAGGCGCGTGAAACATGGCTCTTTGATGAGCCGCAGGCGTCATGTTGTTGCCAATGCCGCCCGCGCGTGGTAGCTGCGACGCTTCTTCCCCGCGAGCGAGCGTCTACTGTCTAGCCCAACCTCCACCCATCACCTAGCCCAAAGCCTGCCTCGCCCGCCCACGCCGCCGACACTCCTCGCTGCTCTGCTGATGCCCGCGCACCTGCACACCCACTGCCCCTGAGCGCATCGCCTGCTGCCGTCTGCGCCGCGCCCCCGTCCCGAGCTCCCCGCGCATTCCTGGCCCCAGTGCTTGAGATCGCCCGAGCTGCGTCGAGGAACAGGCAGGGCCGCGCCGCCGCACTCGTCGCGCCGCCCCTCCAATGCCTACCCTGGGCTTCCTCAAGAAGAAGCGGACCAAGGACTCGAACGGCTCCAAGGACCTCGATTCGCCGACGTCGCCCGTCAAGGACGCCCACTCGCCCATCACGCCCACGACGTCGCGCAAGTCGGGCTCCTTCCACCTGCACAAGACCAAGACCAACGAGTCGCTGACCAACACGGCGAGCAACACCAGCTCCACGGCCCCGGCCGCGCCTGCCGCCCCTTCCAAGCCGTCCGACTCGATGAACCCCGCCTACGCCCACCAGCAGCAACACCAGCCGCCGACGCCCTCGCACAACGTCCCCAGCATACAGAACCTGATACACCCCAGCAACACGCCCGCCCACGCCGCCGCCCCTAAGCATGCCGGCGCCGTCCAGTTCCAGACGCAGCCCCTCAACCAGGCGCGCGTCACCAAGGGCAAGTACTCGCTGACCGACTTCACCATCCAGCGCACCCTCGGCACCGGCAGCTTCGGCCGCGTCCACCTCGTCCAGTCCAAGCACAACCAGCGCTTCTACGCCGTCAAGGTGCTGAAGAAGGCCCAGGTCGTCAAGATGAAGCAGGTCGAGCACACCAACGACGAGCGCCGCATGCTGCAGCAGGTCAAGCACCCCTTCCTCATCACCCTGTGGGGCACCTTCCAGGACTCCAAGAACCTCTACATGGTCATGGATTTTGTCGAAGGAGGCGAGCTGTTTAGTCTGCTGCGAAAGTCTCAGGTATGTCGCATCCGTGCCTGGCATCATGTATCTGATACTAATTCCTGCAGCGCTTCCCCAACCCCGTCGCCAAGTTCTATGCCGCAGAGGTTACGCTCGCACTCGACTACCTGCACTCGCATAACATCATCTACCGCGACCTGAAGCCCGAGAACCTGCTACTGGATCGCCATGGCCATCTCAAAATCACCGATTTTGGCTTCGCGAAAGAGGTCCCCGACATCACATGGACGCTGTGCGGTACGCCTGACTACCTGGCGCCAGAGGTCGTCGCGTCAAAAGGCTACAACAAGTCCGTCGACTGGTAAGTAGCAATGTCTCCCCCGGCTCGAGTCGCACTAACAACGCCAGGTGGTCACTTGGCATTCTCATCTTCGAAATGCTCTGCGGCTTCACTCCCTTCTGGGACGGTGGCTCCCCCATGAAGATCTACGAAAACATCCTCAAGTCGAGAGTCAAGTACCCACCGTACATCCACCCTGACGCCCACGACCTGCTGCAAAAGCTCATCACACCCGACCTCACCAAGCGACTGGGCAACTTGCACGGCGGCAGCAAGGACGTTATGAACCACCCTTGGTTCGCCGAAGTAACGTGGGACCGACTACAAAAGAAGGACATTGATGCACCCTACGTGCCACCTGTGCGAGCTGGCGTTGGCGATGCCAGCCAATTCGATAAGTATCCGGAGGAGACGGAGGCATACGGTCAGGCAGGAGATGACCCGTGCGTGCAGAGTCCTCCTTATACTGTAGACCACATTCTGACGTGTCCGAATAGCCACGGGCACCTATTTCCCGACTTCTAAACCCATAATCGAAAAGAGATACGATATGCCTCTCCTTCAAAATCCAACTAGGCACGGCGATCCTGGTCTAGCACCCGTCGAAAGTCCGCGCCATTCGTCCTACCGTACTTCTCTGACCTTGACCCTCTCCGTGCTCTATCTTCGCGCGATGTTGATGCGCGTGGAATCCTCATTGTCTATTACTACTCCTATCTCTTGATTGCTGGGTGCCATTGGATATGGTTCGGTGTACATTGTTGGGCATGAATGACGGTGCATGATTGTTGAACAGTAACCGCCCGATCGAGCGCGGTGATTGAATTAATAATACGGAAACCTTGACTGGCTCTCCATCCTGAACTTTCTGTCTTGCTATGAGAAATGATGTCTGTATCAAAACGTAGAAACGGCGAGCATTGCAAGACTTGAGCCGAGAATCATCCTTGTTTGCTAGCTATCGATTCCTCGTGCCGTACCTTTGTGCGCATCTCAGATTGGTGCCATCCACGCCTCGCTCCATGCAGTGCCCACCTGAACTATTCTGAGTCAGTTGTATACCTACTGCTTCAGACAACATCGAATGTCCATCAAACGATGCGAAAGCCGAGGTGAATTTGTTCAGCTCTCCTGGCATGGCACTGACTATCTTGCTCAAAGTCTGTGCCTCTATCACCCCAAAATTGCTGCAATCAACACTTGAGCGCAGATTGCCTGGTTGAAAAGCATCCATCTGGCAAACCTCACCTCAATTATGAGTGAGGTGGACATGCATAGAAAGCAGAGGACTAACATGGTGGTGGTTGAGGATCCTCGCGATACAGAAACACACGGGCGAGCAAGGGCTGCCCAGATTTTACAGTCCCCAAGGATACGACATATGACAGGAAGAAGCATTTCCCATTCCTTAGATACATCTTGGCCGCATCATAAGGAAATGAGAGGCGAAAGAGGTCCGCGGACTCATTGACTGCGTCACGGCCGTGCATAGCTTGGAAGCGTGGCGGCTTGGTGACTGAACTTGTGGGTGACTGTTGCGTAGGGCATGTCTTTGTCGGCACAAAAGCATCAGCCATCAACTTTCAAATCACTCTACCATTCATGAATCCTTGAAAACATCGAGAAGTTATTCGCTGGAGTCGGCATCAGCCTCAGTTGAGCTTAGCAGTATGACATCACAGACACGCCAAGACGCTAGAGAGAAAGCGGGGATCTTGAAGGGAAGCAACCATGGCGACGGGTATGGAACATCAACGACATTGCGACATGTTCAAATTGACGCGGATGGTAAGGAGACTCATCGTACGGATGAGACCCAGAACTCCGATGCGTTGATAGGCTGGGATGATCTCAGTGAGTTCGACTCTGCGCTACTCCCGGTGGATACTAGGAACGTCGTGAGCTAACGGCGTCAACGCAGTGCCCTGGCAGCGAGACAACGAGTTCATACTCACATCCCACCGGTAAGCTTTTCGTGTTGTAGACAGCACACGGCTTGGGCTAATGGTCACTAGACGAGCAACGTTCTCTTACCTGCACTCACTCAAGAGCGTCTTCCAGGTTCACAATGAGACAGTCAACATATGGTCACATATCCTGGGTACCGTTACCTTCTTTTTGGTCGCTGTCGTGTTCTACCTGTCTGCTCGTCGGAGTCACCTAGATAGATACAGCAGAAGCGGCGACGATGAAGCCGTCCACGTCTATTTTATCTCCGTTATAGCGTGTTTCTTTTTCTCGTTCTTGTAAGTACCTCTTGATCTTCATCTCCAACCCTCATGCCTTGAGTTTGAAGAATAGATGGTACTGACGCTTGACAGACACCACATCTTCCTCGATCACAGCGAAAGTGTTCGCACTTGGACGGGCCGATTCGATTACCTTGGTATCGTGATACCATTGTATGGAACGACAATTGCCAGTACACACTTCACTTTCAGATGCGAGCCTGCACTACAGGAAGCCTACAGTATCTTCACTACTGTCGTGGGCCTTGCTTGCGCACTCACTACCCTGCACCCCTCCTTTTCTGGTCCCCAGTCTCGTCATCTCCGTACGGCGCTTTATCTCCTGTTGGGAGCGTCTTCCTTCCTTCCGATAGCGCATGGTACCCATCTCTATGGCTTGGAAGAGATGGATAGTAGGATGAGCTTGGGCTACTATCTTGGACTAGGCGTTTGTCATGGCACCGGAGCTTTGTTGTACGCTGCGAGAGTGCCTGAGAGATGGTACCCTCGGCGTTGCGACGTAATTGGGAGTAGCCATCAGCTTATGCATGTGCTGGTGGTGTGTGGCGCTGCAATGTACGGGGTGGGTGTGCAGATGGCGAGGAAGTATTGGGAAGACAGCGCGCAGGAGTGTTTCACAACGTAGACATCCTCAGGTCCTGCTTCACATCAGCAGCTAACCCTTCGGAACCCTCCGTATGACCCGAAACTTCTGACCAAGGTGTTCGGAAAGTATTCAGTCAAAGTCGTGTGATGACAGATCGAGGAACGGGGTGGCTGGGTACCACTTTCTCAGGACGAGCGTAGGATCTCCGCGGATGAGGCTCAAAAGGCTGCAGCTGAGCCCACTGTGGAGCCTACCCACACTACACTACCATCTTTTTCGATATTCCCGGAGTTGCTTCGTCTTCTTGCGCAGCATCTCAGTACCCAACATGCCTTCTCCGGCCCGTTTCCTCCGATATCGCTGCAGTGACTGTAGCAGCCACCGTACGTCAGGATCTAGGCCTAGAACCCCCGCTTGCGAGAACCTCTTGGAGTTTGAGATAAGTCGTCACATCCATCCAGTGTTGGCCTCCAAGTATCGACGAGCCTTGGCATTGTGAGATTCAAATACCGAGTTTCCAAGGAGCGGATGACGTTGCACTGAACTCTAGGCGTTTGAGGATCATATACCCTCCCAGATCATCGATATGCTCCAAGAGTCCCTGTGCATACTCCGTGTTGTCGGGGCGGAAGCTGCAGTCATGCGAGATAAGGCACTGAATCTTCGCTTGATTGGTGCAAGCATGTTTCACAGGCCATCAATATCCTGACAGGAGCTGATCGACAAACAATTAACGATCTCAAATCCAAGCTGGGATTGTAAGAGTTGTGCAACGGCGCGAATCCACCCACATGCCTGATATAGTTGCCGTTGCACCAAGCTCTGTGCTTATCGGGCCACGTCTCCACACGCACGCAGCAGACACACAACTCCCGTCACATCAAGTTTGTACCATCACCAGAAGTCAAAAGCAAAGCGACTTTTCAGAAGCAAGAGTAAGTATTGATCTTGAGTTGTCATTGTTGTTTGCTGCGTTACTTCCAGTCGTTTTTGTCAACGCCACTTCTTCGACACGAACAGTATGCTCGTACTAGGAACAGGAAGCTGTTGAGGCTGAAGAGGTATTAGCGACACAGGCATTTTGTCAAATGCTGACCGCGGAAAAGCAGCAACTCATATTATCTCCAGACGTTCTGATAAGGATCCTTGCTGGCATCGACTACAGTGAGTCTAGTCTCTCGCCTGGCTAGCGCCAAGAGATAAGAGAACGCCCCTGCCGTCCCCCACCATCCCGCGTCAAACCTCATCCCCAGCGAACCACGACTCATCGCATCGACATTCAGCCTTTCATGCTACATTTTAGCCAGTCGAGAAAGAGTCTCAATTCGCTACAGCAGCATGTGGATCTCAAGTTGACGCCCTAGCGCTCATCGCACACATCGCCTGCACCCGAGAACGCGGCAAAGCATACTTTCTCCGAAGCATTGGGCTTGCAGCTGCTGGGCATCGCCAACGAAGATAACGAATCCGCCAATATTACTGAATACAGACACGGAGAAGTCTGATCTCACTTGGCCTGGGGAACGAGTTGCGCCACAACCTTAGCCGTGCGTCACTGTGCTTCACCGCGGAAGTATCATTTTTGGAGTTTGTGCATCAATCTATATAACCTCCAGCTTCCGTTTGGAGCCACGGCTTCAGCAAGCGCCCGCTCCCAACTTCCATATTGCGTCTGTAAAGCATCGCCAGCTTTACACTCTCCCGACCTACCTTTCAGAAGTATCAGTATCGTAGTAGGGCTCGACCTCTCGGGTAGTACTCATCATGCCGTTCGCTATCAACATGCTCTGGTCGGCACCAGAGATCAACCCATACAACAAGAAGGCCACATCTATTCCCGTCTTGAATCCGATCAACAAATATGGTCGTGTATTCTTCTTCTCTTACCTGGGCTTCTTCATTGCTTTCTGGTCATGGTATGTTGTTCCCCACATGTGGGTCTCCTTCGTTGATGAGTGCTAATAATTTTCAGGTACGCGTTTCCACCTCTGGTATGGTCACCCGCAACCCACGAGACTGTCCGAATTGTACAGACTAACATCCCCACAGCTGAGTAAGAGTATCAAGGAGGACATGCATTTGTCACAGGATCAAATTGCCAACTCCAACATCGTCGCGCTATGTGCAACACTTTTGGTCCGCTTCATTGCGGGACCCATGTGCGACCACTTCGGCCCGCGCATTACATTTGCCAGCCTGCTATTCGCCGGTGCCATCCCGACCGCTCTGGCTGGTACTGCCCACAACGCTACGGGTTTATACTTTATCCGTTTCTTTGTTGGCATTCTCGGCGGCACCTTCGTACCATGCCAGGTCTGGACAACTGGATTCTACGACAGGAATGTTGTCGGCACTGCCAACGCTTTGGTCGGAGGCTGGGGTAACTCTGGTGGCGGTATCACATAGTAAGCGGGACGTTCCCTATGAAGCAGCTTCCACTGACGCTTCTTCAGCTTCGTCATGCCCGCTATCTACGACTCTTTGAAAAGGGACCAGGGTCTCTCCTCGCATGTCGCATGGAGAGTGTCCTTCATCGTTCCATTCATCATGATCAGCGCATGCGCTACCGGTCTCTTGCTGTTGACCGACGATACGCCTACCGGAAAGTGGTCTGAGCGTGGGGCAACCGTGGTGTCTAGCAGCGATGAAACCAATCAAGCTTCCGTGGTCCCCACGACAGGTGCCCTCGATGACAAACCTGCGACCACTGGATCGATTTCCTCCAACGACGAAAAGAAGCGAGAGCAACCGGCCGCTGACGTAGAGGCTGGACGTGGTGATGTTCAAGTCATGGACGAATTCCAGCACGAAGTCGTAGTCAAGCCTACTTTGAAAGAGGGACTGAAGGTCATGTTCTCTCTCCAGACACTGATGCTCTGTGCGGGCTACTTCTGCTCCTTCGGCGGTGAACTCGCTATCAACTCTATCCTTGGTGCTTATTACCTCAAGAACTTCCAGTCCCTTGGTCAAACACAATCTGGACGCTGGGCAGCTATGTTCGGTCTCTTGAACGTTGTTACCAGACCGCTCGGTGGCTTTATTGCGGATCTTATCTACAAGGTTACCGGTCGCAACCTCTGGGCAAAGAAGTTCTGGATCCACTTCGTTGGCGTTATGTCTGGTATAATGTGCATCGTCATTGGAAAGGTGGATCCCCACAACCTCAGCGAGATGATCGGCCTCATTGCGGTCATGGCCATATTCCTTGAGGCGGGTAATGGTGCGAACTTCGCGCTCGTACCTCACATCCACCCTCACGCTAATGGTAAGCCCGATCGCTTCACCCATTGAGAGAAGACCTACTAACATTTCCAAAGGCATCCTCTCCGGTATCGTTGGTGCGACTGGTAACTTTGGTGGTATCATCTTCGCCATCATCTTCCGCTACCACAAGACGGACTATGCGCAGGTTTTCTGGATCATTGGCATCATGATCATTGCGCTCAACTGCATGTTCATGTGGGTAAAGCCTCTTCCCAAGGGTCAAATCGGCGGTCGTTAGAATTGGACTATGGCTTTTTGTTTGCTGTTTTAGCGTCGCTTCGTACATATGATACCTTTGTTAATCGCAAATTGCATTCCTTGAGCAGTGGATGGTCGACTGTGACTTGATGAACGTTACCAGAATGCAGCATGACGGTGTGAATGCAGTGATAGGTATTGGCTCTGCCTGTTTGATCGCAAACATGGGGAGTACTCTTGCTTGCGATGTCAGCTTGGCTAGCGAGGCTATAATGAAATGGCGCGCAGCCCTCCTGCAACTGATACAAAAGCCATGGCTGTTGTACGCGGTTCGATGACCTTTTTGCTGCGAGTCCTGATACTACATGAATACGCTTAGGCACCCACGTCTCAGCAATGAGTATTACCGCAGCCTACGATGGTACGAAAGACAGCAATCTGCATGAAACAAAAGCTTTGTAGGCTTCTCGACCCTCAGTTACATATGCGATCTGCTTCTTACGCGTTGTTGTATCCGACAGGGTAAGAAAGAGCTTGGGGCTGTGAGCTATTTCGACGCAGGGGCGCCAAGCCAAGGCTCGAGGCCGGACCTCGGGAGGCTGTGCCGCAAACACTAAACTCAATTCGCGTTGGACTCAATGCACGCCACCACCTAGTCGACACGAAGCCTTAGAGTTGCACTCTCGCGTTCCGTCAGCTGGACTAAGGCTTACTTTTGCACACCGCGTCCCCTCGTGCGTGCTGTTATAACTACGACATGTCTCTAGGATCGCACAATGACCTCCATGGTACCGGTCTTAGTACCGCATCTAGCATCGATACTAGAGTCTCATAGGCTCTTCCCTCTATTCTGGCTAGCTACCGGCGCACGGTCTTGAGGCCGCACCTTCGCACTCCTGCTGTGCTTGACCAGTGTCTGTTGCCCACCGAGGGTGCAATACCAGGCCTGCAGGCCGCAGTATATAAGGATGACGAAAGACTGGGAGTTGGTGCAGGATGAGATCAAGGAGCTTTCTTTCATCCAGAAGAAGCCTCTGGAAGAGGTCAAGGAGCTCATGGAACGCAAACACAAATTTCGGGCTTCGTGAGTACTTGCAAAGATGATGATTCATCGTCTTTCGATAGCTGACGAGGGATACAGGACACGAGCATATCGAATGAGGTTGAAAGAGTGGGGTATCATGAGGCACAAACCGCGAAGAGCCACGAAGTCGCGTCACAAAGCGAGGCTATCCAGCGAGCAGAGTTCCGATGGCAACGCTGGGAACGACAACGAGTCAAGCGAGTTCGCAGAACCCATCTCGATCGACTCGGCTTCCAGAGAGCATTGTACAAAGACGGGTGGTTGGCAGGTTGTAGCTAGTCTACCCACTCTTATCGCCGATGAAGCCGGGACGGTCGCAGAGCCAACTTTTCTGGGTCTATTGAACCAGCCACAAGAGTATGTAGGTCTCTGATCATCCCAGATTCGTGCGCTCAGTGTGTATTGACCATATCGTAGTCTCCGGCCATCCTTCGAAAAGACATCGTCGCAAGATTCTAGGCACGCCTCCGGCATAGTACTAGATATGGTCGGCGCAGTCCTAGACGGCGATTTGCAAAAGTTGGAAAAGCTTATTGTCGACAATGTCGATCACATCAACCATCCTATTGGTCTGCCTTTCGATGAAGCAGGCGCACGATTCGTTGGCCACCCTGCTCTGAGCGAGATGGTTATCTTGCAGCATCCAAATCAGACCGTATTCGATATTGCGTGCGGTATGCCTTGCGGACCGATCATCTGGGTCTTACTTGCTTACGGCGCAAAAGGTTCCAAACATCCACTTGGAACAGACTTGGCATTGCATAATGCCATCAAAAACGGGCGCACTTACACTGTTCAAGCACTGCTCCAACCAGGTCGTTCAGAGGTCAATGGACTTCCGGGCTCAAGCTGGACTCCTTTACGTCAAGCAGTTTTCTGGAATGTACCTGACATCGTGCGCATCCTTCTCAACCGAGGTGCCAACGTCGAAGATGCTGGTCCATCGCCTGAGAAGCCTGGCGTTCACACAGCATTGCAACTATGCCTTTTACATCGAATGAAAATCTACACAGACCCAGCGGCACGCAAGAACTGCCACACGCTTTTGGAAATGCTTCTTAGTGCTGGGGCAAATGTTCACCGCAAGCCTCCGGAGCTTGTTGCCCAGTCAAACCTCAGCATGTTCATCATGGCATTGCAGAATCGCCCTTATTGGGCGGCCGACCTTTCTTCAGACGAGCTTGAATGCCTCCGGCTGTTTGTTTGCAAGGGTGCTAGCTTCCCTCCGTTCTTTGGAGGTTATCCTTGCAAGTCTCTGTGTCGGGACAAGTTTGAGCACCAAGCGCTGTGGCATTCGACTCCAACTTTTGCGCGGTGGCTCATTGACATCTTTGTACCTACGCCTACTAACGATGGTACCTCGCTCCTATCCGAAGTTCTCGGCTGCTGTCCGGACGCAAAACGACATCCCACCGATACGCTACGCGATATTGAAGTGCTTCTCGGGAAGGGCGTCGATCCGAACAGCGCAGCTCATGACGCCCTCAGTCCTTTGCGAAAGTGCATTGCGGAATGCCCAGCTGTTGATATCGTTCCGCGTCTCCGAATGCTTGTCAATGGCGGCGCCGACCCAGAATGCGAAGATGCGGACGGTGTTCAGCCATACGTTCAAGCGGCGGAATCTTTCGAAGAGCCGCTTCGTACCGAGGTCATGTCAGTGTTAGTCGCTAAGATCTCAGGTAGACATGTAAGGCGCGTCAATGATGCCTCCCACACATGGGCTGCAGGCCTTTTCCCCATCTCAGAGACGCAGACTTATGATCAAGTCATGGCGTGCACGCGTCAAACGGGCGAGTTCATGCTCAACATGCGTAACATGGTACCAGAACATGTTCAGAGCATCTTTCAAAGAGCCTATTTCACTGTTATCAGCGAGTACTTCTTGAATACAATGACCAGAGTAGCAAAGACGAAGTTGCTTAGCTCGAAAGAGAAGGATGAAATCGTCTGGATTGTTTCTATCCGAGATGGCGTCGATCTACCCAAGTACAGCTTCGACCAGAAACTCGTCATTGCGCTGCTGGACCCACAACCACTGCCAAGTATGATGCTTGCACGAGACGATGATGTTCCTCCAGAGGATCCGATGCAATGCGATACGGTCGATGTTGCTGCGGCTTCTCCAGCATCTAGTGCCACGATCACGGGGACTGCGATCGTGACCGCGGCGACGGACCTTCAGCCCCATGCTCCATTCCAGTTCAACTCCAACCGCGGGGCAACTTCGAATAATACACCGTCACCACCCAGGTCTCCGCAATGGCTCGATGAATTCTTCATAGCATCTACGACCCAAATTCGATGGCGCGATCCCTGCGCACCACCCAAGCCAGGCGACGCCCAGAAAGCTGTGGCAGCAGTGCTGATACACAAATGCGCGACTTGCAACGACGACAGGCTGCTCACGAAAAGGGAACTGGAAAGACACGATGCTGAACATGTGCACACTGAAGATTGTGATATCATCGGCTGTAAGAGGCGCTTCTGTGCTGAGAAACGAACCAAGGAACATTTTGGAGGATGTCAAGATCATCTATTCAGTCATTGAGGGCCAGGTCTGCGAGACCATCCCATCCAGCCTCATTAAATTCGTCGAAATCGGTACAAGAATTCTTATTTCCGTGTATACTCGGCTCATATGCCTCTGGCTGCTCCTCTTGCTCCAGCATACGTTCATGCGCTAGTCGTCTTACTTCCATATCAGTCGCTCGATGCCGCCAATGCTCGAAGTATCCTCGCATCTCTAGGGGTTCCAGCTGCCTGAGCACATGACGAGAGCGATAACCGGTGTCGATCATGTTCAGCCGACAGAAGTAACGCATATGATCTGGACCGGTGTGTCTTAGTGTTGCTGTTATTCCGACATCTTGGAGTGCCTGGACATGCGTAGCGGTGTGATCCAATCGCGCACGGTTGGGTAACTTTGCGCGGTCATCTCCCATGCCCTCTTGCCCCATTTGATGATGGGTGTAGATGGTGAGGCTGCGCAATCTCGGCAATATTCCAGTGGCTTTCTGTTCGACGAGATGAGTCAGGAGACGGTCAAAGTCCCAGCATGTACCTCCGAGCGTAAGATGGGTTAATGTCTTCGGCAATACGCCAAGTTCGTAGTCAGGCTCGGATCCCCATGCCTTCCATTTAGGCGTCATCAGTTCATCGACGCATGTGGTCACGTGTGTGAGGTGAGCGTACTCGCTCAAATCGAAAGTCCGATGCCCGTTGTCAGAGTCCCATAGCCCACCGAAAGGGATCTCTAGCTTGTTCAACCGCGTTTTGAGTCGCTTTCTGATAATTTCTCTCAGATAGGGCCGACAGCGGTGGGCATCTGAAGAAGCTGGATCTGCGATGGAGGCCGAGGTGTTGAAGAACACTGGATCGAGGAAGCGGATATCACCATGCGACAACCCTCCTAGCAATAAGCGCTGTAGGTTGGGGATCTGTAGCAGGAGAAGAGCCATGTCTGCCTGGACGTTCTTTCGACGCAAATCATACTTTAGCATTCGCTGGAGGCGCCTTGTAATGCCAGACGACCTCATGATAGGCATATAGATACCCCGTTCCTTCCCTTGGGATTTACGCTCGGAAGTGCGTTCGTCGTGGGTGTCGGCGTCCCGGAAAAGGTCAATGCTCCTGACTAGTTGCGCGAGCTTGGGTCGGGCGGCATACAAAGAGACGAGTTTGTGTACTTTGGCCATGTCGACGCAGACATCTTTATGGAGAACGTCCACTACAATATCATCTATAGCGTGTCAGATAGCCAACAAGCGGGGTGTCATTCTAGCATCCACTCACAAAAGCGCTTACACACCATTGCCAACGAGACGAGTTCGGCGCGTCGGTCCCGAGGTAGACGAGGCAGATGGTCCGTAATATCGAGCAACAATTCATCAGGTAGTGCAAGGAGATACGCCGACATTGCGAAGTAAGAGGTGCACTATCGCGCGAGGTTGGTTACCTGTATAGCGAGGTATGGGTTGCTGGAAGGGTTGCTCCAGCGGTGCATGAAGTGAGTCATGTGGTGTGACTGTACGGCCGTTTAAGAATAAAGAAACGACACTTGCCGCTCATATGAGTCGTTGTGAGTGGTGAGGAGCTGACGTGACTGTGACTTCCTGAACTGTGAATGGGAAGGCTTGGCTCGCTTGAGTCAACCACGACTGCCACACAATGATCATTCATCAACAAAAGAGCAATCAACAAAGGAGCACAAAGGGTATGTAAGGCGTCTACCAGTATCTTCTCATGCATCTAGAATGAACGGAGACAAGTCACGTACATCTCAACAGCTTCCGTGCTGCCAACTACGCTTCGTCAAAACGTTTACGCATCCGAACCAGGACACTAAACGTCAAACTATAGCGATCCTCGCATGATGAGACTCTTCCCAGAATCATCACTGCTACTTAGCGATCTCTGTGCAATCGTCACAGCAAGCTTATCGCGCTCAGTGCGGCGAACAAGCGGATCGACAGGATGGCGATCAGTCAACCACATTCTAGGTTCACACTCGAAGACGCCGAAACATCACTAGGCTGACACCAAGGCAGACAGGAATTAAAATCTCATAACAAATCCAATCATATCTCTACAAACACACCGCCGACCGCTACAACCAAACTGATCCCTCACAATCCACTAAGCCCAAGCGCCAACGCACCAAGCACACTGTTCAACAACGCAATAATACCCACAAGCACAACATTAAGCACCAACTGAACCGCTAGAATCAAAAGACTCAACGCGCTCGTCAACGGGTTGATAAACACCAAGAGCCCAGCGAGACCCAAGATCGCCACCGCGGCGGTAATCGTAGCAAAGATCTCAACGATGATGAGCGCGAGAAGGGCACCAGCGGCGATCAACTGACGCTTCTCCTTGGGCTGGGAGACGTCGACGAGATCAGTAGAGGTAGACCGCTTCTGGTTGTCTTCGGCTGGCACCATGGGTTGCGTAGCGTTTGCAGGAGCGAGGTCGCGGATCTGCGTTGTCGAAGCCGTGATGGCGGCGGTGATCTTGTTGAGTTGCTCGCCTACTTTGGGGATTGCGGCAGTCTTGTCGAGGAGAGACGAGGATGCGGAGAGGGGCGCAAGGGTGGCATCTAGGATGCATTTGTTAGTATAATGCAGGTGATGGGTGGTTTATTTAGGCTGGTGGCTCAAAGGGGGAGGGGCCGTACTGATGGCTCCGGTGTAGACTTGCACCGTGGCGAAGAGGTCGGTGAGGAGGGATTCCACACTGCTGCTTTCCTGGCGCTTTTGACGGACGACGGGGCTCGCAAGCGATAGGCCGCTTAGGGCGAAGACGGCGAGGTGGGAGAAACGCATTTTGGTGTTGGTGGTTACGACGACTATGAAGATAGTGAACGAGGTAAAGTATACACAGGAACGAAACTGAGCGAGTGAATCGTAGTAGAGACTGGTCAGTTATACCGAGAACACGATACCTCTTATACGCCCCTGTGGTATTACCTGTAGTACCCTCCCCGAGTACAAACTGGTTTACAGCATGACAAGAAATCTCAACAGCTAGTTTCGCATGAGGAAATGCTCGTCATCGTCATTTCCTACAATGGTACACGTTCCGGGTATGCGGTTCGGAGTGTTGTCTCGATGCGGCCAGGAGTGATCGTCATAGGCGGACCTGGATCTATTGATAATATACATCCTTGCTGTATATCGCTTCTACCCGCTTTTGTTCCTGCGCCAGAGAATCTCGATCTTTTCAGGAACGCCATGGGCTTTCTGTGTTGGTAAGTATGCGAGGATACTGGTGTTGCGACTGGGAATGGGGCTTCTGGAGGATGTGACGCGATTGCCTTTCGTACTGCGCGTGATAAACTGCTGTGGGGGCAGGTACGTGCCTTCGATTTTGCGTTTCACATCGTTTATCAACCGCCCCATTCACGAAGAAAACCGTTGCGTACCATCACGCTTGTAGCCGGTATGCCGCACGCCATGATGTGCTATAGCGCTTTATACACCGTTTATACCTACTCCGCGGACCTTGTACCATGTCCGCCACGTTCGCTAGGCCGTGGAGAAAAAGGAGAAACAGCGTCATGGCAGAACCAGAACGTCAATGTCAAGGCTGGCAAACTCACAAGCCTCAAACACCGGTGGTAGAAACCCCTGGAGTCAATTGCTCATTGGCTGCGCGCAACTCCATTAGTGCTTCCTGATATCCGGCATCCCTGTCTCCGCTCTTGCTCTACGCGAGGTGATGGATGGGTCTGTGCGGTTCATGCGATGATGGCGTGGCTGGTGTTGTTCGGACTGAGTAGCGCGCGGCGTGGGAGACTCAATCTCAAGATACTATTTAGTATGGTGAATGATGCAAGATCTTCATTGATACGCCTACGGATGCGCCTACGAATGCTATGTTTGCAAAACGCCCTGAGGATAATTACCCTCACCCACCTTTGATATCCCGTCCCGTTCGTCATGTACAACCCTTCCATGCTATCCTCCTTTTGTTCATCAGTCATGTCCATCTAGTCTAACGAGAGCCTTTTCGTCTCCCAAGCCCACGATCGCGACCTATACACGACCTATACACTCAGACGAAAGATGCAATGATTTGCCATTCAGGGGAACACGAATCCTCCTGCGTATTGTAGGATTTTCGTCTGCTCAGTCTTCGCCGACGAGCCTGATCTCGGCAACTTCATCATCTTGCTGTGCGACGGGTGTGCCGACACCACCCCAGCCATTCTTGACACCGCCATCGTCATCAAAGTCTTGCATCCTTTCGCTCATCTCTCCATCACCTACGGAACCCATCGCTCCGGTATCAGACGCGGCACCGTCATCATCCGAGTCGTTACGGCGATCCATGTTCGCACTGCCAAGGCCGCTGAAGCTCCAAGCTGGTTGATCAGCGTCCATTTCCCAAGGAGTGGACGTGTAAGCACCGTCATCAGCGTAGCCCTCATCGTCGCCATAGGATGGTAGCTCATCATCGTCACTCTGGCTCCCGGCTGCGACTCCGTTCTTTGGACGGTTCGCGGCTGCTGAGTGCGGATAACCACCCCCGCGCAGGGCTACGGCTCCCGCTGCGACTGCGCCAGCGCTCGACGACCCATTGCGGGACGAATCGTCGAGGCGCAAGCCGTTTCCCGCCGGTGACCGAGAGCGAGGTTGTTGGTCGTCTGCATCTTCATCAGAGTCGGGGTTGCTGTTGTCGCCGGTTACAATTTGCTGAAGAGAAGGAGGGCCTAAAGGGACGGGGGAACGGCGGCGGTAGAACAAAAGGTAGGCGTTTCTCGATACGGC